ATTTTTTATTAATATTCTTTCAACTTTTTTTTATTAAAAAATAAAAATAACTAGTATTAATTTTAAAAATTTATAATACTATTTATCGTTAAAAAAATAAAAAATATTATTACCATTAATACGTGGACGAAAAACTGTAAATATATTTTTAAATTTTTTTAAAAAGCTTATAGGTATTTTTGATTTTTTTTAAAAAAAATGTTTAAAGGTATTTTTAATTTTTTTTCCAAAAAAATTAAAGATATTAATTAAACTTTTTTTTAAGTTTGATGTCATTTCTTAATCCATTTCAAAAGTTCTAAGAGTTTTTTTTTAAACAAAGAATAAAGGTATTTTAAAAAATTTAAAGACATTGTTAAAATTAAAAATTAAAAAGTATTTTTTTTTTTTAGATAAAGTATATTTTTATTAATTAGTTAAAATAAAAACTACTAAAAATAAAAAATGAGCGTCCAGAAACAGAAAAAAAAAAAATAATAATTAATTAATTAATTGCCAGTAGATCCCGCCTACCCGCTTACTAACCCGTCTTCCACATCCATTTGCATCAAATCCATTCTGCAAACTTCCAGACAGACCTTTTTCTCTCTCATCTCTTTCTCTCTCCTCTAATTTCTATTTGATAGGCCCCAAATTCCCCACTCATCAACCCTAGAACTACTCAATTTCCTCGAAATTTTCCGGTGACTTAAGAATCCTTCGTTTCTTTGAACCATGTTGCAGTTCTTCTTCACGGTGGCTTTCTCTGCAGTACCTTTGACTCTCTACGTTCCGCCTCTCCGGAGCTTCAATCTCTTCGTCGAGACCATGGAGGAGATACTTCGCGAGTCCAGAACGTACACCAATCGGGTCTATCCGCGGGCTCGGCATGTTTGGTTTAGGGTTTTGGATTGTGTTCTTTGCAGCACCAGGTAGATGATTGTTTTTCTTTTCTAGGTTTCAAAGTTCACGACTCTGATCTCTCTGTATATACCCTTCCTTCGATTCTCTCTTTTGTTTGATAAGATTTGGATGAGTGTGGTTGTGATGCTGATACTGTTCTTGCGGGATTCTGTTGTTAATTGCTGAATGTAACATGTAAGAGGAGGATATATTTCGAGTTAATTTTCAGGAAAATAAAGAGCTGATGTTCAAGCTAATATGTGTACTCTTATGTTCTGTTTCTCTCCTTCCATTCAATTCTCTTTTGTTTTGCTTTGATTTATGCTTATGGATATATAATTCAGAATCTGGGGGGCGGAATTGCTTCAACCTTCTACCTTTTGACTTCTGATATCTGCTTTAGCTAGTAATTTGATGTTTGTTTGTTGCTTCCCCCCATTCAAGCGAACTTAATTGATTGCAAGGCCAAAATGGAAGCCCTAGATTCAGATAAATAAACGTATTCATTGAGGGATGTTTTGAGATCTTACCACGGTTGTAGAGGGGAAAGAAGCATTCCTATGGAAACCTCTCCTTAGCATCAGCATTTTAAAACCTTGAGAGGAGTTCAGAAGGGAAAGTCCAAAGAGAACAATATTTGTTAGTGTTACAAATGGCATCAAATGGTATCAAAGTCAGTCACTAGGCGGTGTGTTAGCAAGGATGCTGAGTCTTCAAGGAAGGTGAATTGTGAGATCCAACGTTGGTTGGAGAGGAGAATGAGCGGTGTGCCAGCAAGAACGTTGAGCCCTCAAGGGGTAGACTGTGAGATCTCACGTCGGTTGGAGAAGGGAACGAAACATTTCTTATAAAGATGTGGAAATCTTCGGTTGGAGAGGGGAACAAAGTATTCCTTATAACGGTATGGATACCTCTCCCTAGCAGACGTGTTTTTGTTTTAAAATCTTGAGGGGAAGTCCGAAAATCCCAAAAAGGACAATATTTGCTAACGGTGGGCTTGGAATATCTTTTTCAATTGGGTGTAATTTCGTTTCAATCTAAGATTGTAGGCATCAGGATTATAGGGTTATTCGATGCTTTGGGAATCAAAGATTGTGGTGCCTATTTCACAGCAACAGCGAAATTGATTCCTTCCTATGAAGTTGATTGGGAATACCATCAAAGATTGTTGTGTTTCTTTTACATTTTCTGTTCACTAATCTCCAGAGGTTTCATCCACTTTAAGGCTATTACAGGAAGACAAATTATTGAGTTTCCAGCTTGAACTACAAGTTTCGAGGGTATCTTCCTAACAACCTAAGCCTTTATTACTGGGATCTTTGTTCACTAACAACTTTCACTCTTAGTTTATTTTCAAATGATTCTATACATAAGGTCTTTACAACAAAAAGTCCACCTTTTTTGAGTTCTAACAATTTGGTTCGGCAGGGTGAAAGGTCAAACCATCAACCTTTGGTATGGTAATTAGTGACTTATCCATACTCAGATTGACCTGTAGAACATAGATTTATGGGGAATTATTCCATACAAATTCATGTAGGTAAGATAGAATTGCTTGTTTTTTGTCTGTTGGGGGAGCCCTCTGAAGAATAATTCTGTGCAAATATGTTTCATCTGAAAATGGGAATGGGAATCTGAGTAATTTTAGATGCATGGTTGTGTTTGTGAATAGCTTTAGCTGCTGCAAAGGAAGTAGTAATGCATTACTGCATCAAAAGAAACAGCCCCTGACATGTTTGACAAAGAGCATACATATTATATGGCCATAGAGAGAGAGAGAGAGAGTTTTTGAAGAAGAACTGGATATGCTCAAGATTGAGATGATTTCTTGTTTGCAACCAAACATTGGCTGCTGCTTGCTTATCCATAATCTTATAGCCTTGAAAAACTAGGTGGTATGGCCATACTTATTTGGATTCAGTGTATTTTTGTTTGTACTTTATTCCAGTTGCAGTGTACTAAGCTGATTGGAGTTTTGCAGGAATGCATCCAAGGTTAGATTTCATGTGGGTCCCTATAATTCAAAGATTTTCAACTCAGTCCCTATATTTTGGCTTCACTTTCGATTACATCCCACTAAATTGTCCAAATACAAAACTTTTTTGTGATATGTATTTGTTAATATAGTTGTAAACTGGGGGGATTCATGAAGTTTGACTAAATCATACAAATCATGCTGAAACTTTCAAAACCTTGACTAAATTGAAATTAAACATAAAGTATAGAGAGACAATTGAAATTTTTATAAGTATAGGGACCAAATTGATATTATATCACAACCATACAAATCAAATCTGTAATTTAAGCAAATAAAAATCCAAAAAGAAAGTGACAGACGAAGCAATGGTTCTACATCAAGTCAAACAAAATATTTATAATATATATATATATATATATATATATATATATATATATATATTTAAAAAAAAAACCTATCTTTTTTTGTTGTTATAATCATAATAATAATAATAATAATAATAATAAACCATGGTTCTACACTCAAATCAAACAAAAAGAAATTTGTCTTTTTTAAAAAAATAATATTAATAATTTATGTTTAGGAGTTGTATCAATTAAAACATTACACTTGCACAAGTTAATTGATTAAACTTGGATAAATTAATTAATTTAGACTTTTATTACATTTTTATTTTGGAACTGTTGATGAATAACATATGCATAAAACTTCTTTAAATACAAAACATTAATTTTTTTTTTATTAAATTCTAGCATTTTTTTCATAGCTCATCTTCCTCTATATGTCTAACTTGATGAGACTTTTGGTTTATTTATATGGTTTTAAATGGAATTAAACAAATATAGTTAGAAGTTAGTAGCAAATTTTCTAAATTGATTTTACTAAAGTGATAGTTTAAAATGATACAATTGCCTTAATTGATATAACTTCTAAAGTGTAGAGTTAAAAATTCATACTTGGGCTGCCTAATGTTAATATGATATCCATTTTAAAACAATACTTCCCCCACATATACATATGTCACATCATGCCCATTAATATTTCATAAGTTCTTATCAATGTTTGTCGTAATTTTCTATTTATGACTCTACTATTTTTAATTTATTTTTTAAGTTTATGTTAACTACTCTATACGGGATAACCCATTATCAAGAAAACTAATAGCATATTGAAATTTTATATTTGAAAAAGAAAATAGCTGCAAAATTACATACCGATTCCAAATCTAGTACCCTTCGAGCTCGAAAAGCAGCAATGAGTCAAACAAAATGTCGATACGTTTCATCTGTCAAATTTTCTGAATGATACAAACAACAAACTTCATATAAGCATTAATGTAATAAGAATTAACATCTCTTTCCTATTTATTTGGTTGTTTGAAGAAAAAAAAAGAAATATCTTTTGAACTAAAAGAAAATTAATTTTTTAAATTGCATTGTGAAATTTTGAAATATTAAAAATAAACAAAACTACAATAATAAACTTTTTTCTTTTTTTTCCGGTTTCAACGAGTGGATATAACTAAAAAAAAATTAAAAAAAATAAAATTGAGATGAATATTAAATTTTGTGTGTAATAGACTCTAAAAAAAATTAAAGATTAATTGATTTATCAATTATAAAAGTGAATTTTATGCTTATAAATTATTATATGAGAAACCGAATGGATGAATTGACTATTAAACACAAAATTAAAAAAATTTACGAATAAATAAATATAAACCTAAAAATTAGACTAAATATTTAACTTTTATTCAAATATATTTATCTTTATTTTTTGTTTTCTTTTTCATCATAAATAATTAAAGAAAAGAAAAGGCAAATAAAACAAAAACGGTTTCCCAGAATCATGGAAACAGAGAGAACCGATCAAATTGAAACCTAATTTCAGCACCACGAATCAGGAAGTTTGTTCTAAATATAGCTCTGCAATTCAAGATCAAAGCACCATAGAAACTTACCTGTCTCCGAAAATCGCTGCAGTTTCCACCTATAAATCGAATCGATTCCATCTCATTTCCTCAGGCAGCAATTTCCAAAGCGAAGGCGTATTTCGGTGATCCTTCTCGAGTTCTTCACCGGATAACGCCGCACAAATCCAGATCCAAAACCGAAAACAAAAAAAAACCTAATAAATCGCAATGGAGATGAAGAAGATCGCCTGCGCCGTCCTCTTCGCTGCCGCAACCGTCAGCGCCGTCGTGGCTCACGACGAGGCGTTGGCTCCAGCACCTGGACCAAGCAGCGGTGCCGCTGCCGGCCTTCCAGCAATCGGCTCTGCCATTGGCGCTTCGTTGCTCTCTGTCGCGGCCTACTACCTGCAATGAGGCAAGGAGTGGAGTGAGATGTAATTTGAGAGATTGATTGCTTCGGTGTTGGTATTTATATTGGGAAGAATTTTCGTTTATGAGTGGTTTTATTGTGAGATGATCGATTAGTGAATAATATATATAAATATATCCTTAATTAACACTTGGCTGTCTCACCATTTTCATAATTCATTTGCTAATCACTTCATAGCCTAATCTATTACTATCTCAAAATTGGATGATCCCATTCTTAAAATTTTTGGGATGGAAAGAAATTATTTTAAATATTTAAAGTTAATAATGTGACATTTAACATTTTTTAAATTCAATTTTTTTTTTAATCTAAATCATCTACTCAAGAAATTCTTGAACTTCTCTCGCTATCGGTATCATTCACGAGGTAATTTACGATATTCCCTATTCCCTGACCTTCAAACACTGGACTATTACTTTGGGCTTGTGTCTCCCGTTGATGGTACATTTTGCTTTGGGCTTTTTCAAAATATTTCATACCAATGGAGAAAGTATTAATTGAAATTAGGAATTCGTTAGGACTTTAGGGACCTTTAGGGACGGCCCCTAATTATAGTGTCATAACTCATAATCCGATCTCCCTAACTAAATATTTGCAACTTGACAATTTAAAACAGACTTTTCAAGTACTTAAATATTATTTAATGGATGAAAATGGGGGTATTTTGAATTCTGATCCATGGAGGAACATTGTTTTCAATACATTTAATTTGAATTGGCATTTTCTGTATTATAATTATCACCATAATTATTGTGAAGAAACACCTACAAGAATTAGCCTTGAAGAGTTTTTTTTTGAAAATGTATGTATAGCCAAAAATGGACCACACCTAAAATCGGGAGCCTCCCTGTGACTTTGGCATTGGACGTTCCAAAAATGGGGTACTATCGGGTCGGGTGAATTCAATAATAGACGCTTGTTGGCATTCCTGTGAATAGGACGTGAATATCTGAATAGGACGAACCGCCTCGTGATTTACTTCGGAACAAAACAATTAGAATTAGGCTCGTTGAACTGGAATCCTTTGTTTCTATAATCCTTTTATTTTATTGGTTACATTTACTTTAGAGCTCATACTTCAAATCAATTACATTAGAATGTCACTAAGACTTTTAAGTTGGTTTCTATTTTAATATTTATATTTTTAAAATATCTATTTTATTATACTTTTGATTCAACCTCTCAAATCTTTAAAAAATAAAAATTTGAAATCTCTCTACACAAGCAATGCATTTATCAAATTCAAAATGGATTCGACCGCGGAAACGCTCCGATGCGATTAATTTTTCGTAAGGATATTGAATAGTTACAGGCAAACGATTTGCATGGGATAAAGTAATAATGAAACCCTGACCAATGTACCTTGCAGCTCGTACTGTTTGTTGACCATAATTCATGAACCCAGTTACCATAGGGAACATATTGTAATATCTCTAAAGAATTTTATGTTTGTTTCTTTCTCTTGTTTGAGCAAGTCGTGAATATAGAATATGGTATTCCTTTACAGTGAAAAGAGTTGAAAGGAAGTTGTTAATAATAGATTACCAAGAGATATAGGTAAAAGAAATTTCCATCCGAGATTTAATAGTTGGTCTATTCTTAGTCGGGGACTAATGAGATTAGGAAAAGAGGATTATCTGGCTAGTTGTAAATAGACCGGGTTTGCCTGTTCTTTGTCCATAAACCTTTGTGATGGTTTCACGCACCGTCAGTAGTTCTCCCGCTTCCAAGATCAATTCTCCCGTTTGTCCCTCATAAAAAGAACTAGCAGGTTGATGGATCATTACCCTGTTGATTTAGTAAATGGTTTTCTCTATCTCGCATGATAGGATTAACAACCGTATATGCATCCTTTGTGCAGTGCATACGGCTCCAAAATGGAATTCGTTTTTACCTTCCATCGAAGATATAGAAAATGGAGGATCTATGAGACCTAGAACCTTTATTTATTAATAATTTAAAAATAAATATTATGATGGTTCCGTAGTCTTTTATAATAGAAATATTGTTCTTAAGTGTTTTACGTCTGAAAACAAAAAAGTTTGTGACGCTGAAAGAGGCCTCCGGTAAATCAGCTAAAATCGTAAATGTCTTTTATCTCATATTTACTCTTTCGAGACATAACCTAATGGTTTAGATAAAAAAACAAGAAAAAAAATTCTCATATCGAATTCAAAATGCCATGCTATTATTACTTAATATTCATATTTTCTATGGCGAAGACATAGTTTTTCCTTTTTGTCTAAAAAAAACACTCATTGGCGCTGAGCGTGAGGGAATGCTAGACGTTTGGTAATTTCCTCCGACCAGAATAAAAGATCCCATTGAAGCGGCTAATCCCATGCATATTGTATGTATATATGGTTTCACAAATTGGATAGTATTATAAATAGCTATTCCGGCTATTACCCCTCCACCGGGAGAGTTTATAAATAAATACTGATCTTTGTTCTCATCCTCTATACTGAGATATATCATAAGACCAATAATTTGATTCGAGATCTCGCTCTCAACGTCTTGGCCTAAAAAAAGTAATCTTTGTCGATAAAGTCGGTTGATTAGGATAAAATTGTATCCCTTAAGAACCGTACGGGCACCTTTTGATGCATACGGTTCAAAAAAAATAGCGAAAAAAAGAATCAATGTTTAGATTGTACCCTTCTTTAGAGGACTCTTTCTAACTTTTAATGAAGGGGCTTTTTCTTCCCTTCCATTTTTCAAGAAAGATGAGTTTTGTCCTTTGGCCCGCGGTCGTTTATCTATACTAGAAATTTCAATAAATAAAAAAACAATTCATTAAATTTTCAATTTATCGAACTAACTTTTCATTGATGTATTGTTTCATCGAGATCAAATTGCAATTGCGATGTCATTTTCTTGTTCCCGAATGGTCTTCTTCAATTCTTTTAGGTTTATGTCAAATTGCAATTGCGATGTCATTTTCTTGTTCCCGAATGGTCTTCTTCAATTCTTTTAGGTTTATGCTCTACTCCGAGTAAAGATCTGCCCGATTTGGATTTGCACATATAGGACAAATGCCCCAATAGCATGTCTTTTTGCTACGACTTCTTTTTTTTTTTTCAATTTACTTCATGCTTGTAAACAAATATTCAACCAACGTATTCATCATATTACTCCATTAATTAACAGTTTTCTATCCCGAACCTACACCGATGTATTGATGGTGATTCTCAAATATCGCATAACAGAATTTGATACGATGAGATAGAAGATTAAAAAAATAGGTCATTAACTAATAAGTTTTTTGAGATTAGGAAAAGAGGATTAGTCGTGTCAATAGATGGTAAATCCTCAAATGTCAAACAAATGACTCCTCAAAAGAAAAAGAAGACTCCAAAGGAGTCGAGCCTCGAGACGTACTTTATTCGAGAGGAAGTGTTTGATGATGAAAGTCCCACGTTCAAACGCGAGCTACGAGAAAATAGAACACCTTTCAGGAGTATCAATACCGTTACACGAATCGTAAATGCATGAATATGATGTACCAAAAAATCTGCGGTTCCTAACGGAATAGGTAACAAAGCAACTTTGCCGCCCACTGCCACTAAATCACCACCCCCCAAGTCAAACTGGTGCCTGTTGTTACAAAGCAACTTTGCCGCCCACTGCCACTAAATCACCACCCCCCAAGTCAAACTGGTGCCTGTTGTTGCACCGGGGGCCGTTATACTAGGTGCTAAAGCATGGGTGTTTTGTATCCATTGAGCAAAGACGGGTTGTAATTGTATAGCGGCATTGGAAAACATATCTTCGGGACGCCCTAAAGGCTAATTTAAGGAATGGTCATGGGTTAATAAACAAAGAATACTCTTTCCGGCTAATTTAAGGAATGGTCATGGGTTAATAAACAAAGAATACTCTCTCCATTGACATGAGACATTTTTGGAAAAGCTCAAACCAAAGACGTGCGTGAGGGGGAAATTAATATTCTAGTATAAATCAAACAGACCCCTTGACATTTTCAACACATGAGGACCTTATTCGGCCGACAAGTTGATGGTTGAAAACTGAGATGCCATTCCCACTTCCATAGGGAACAGAGATTTCCACCAACAAACCAACAAAAAAAGATAGCCGACTCTCTGCCTCTTAACATTCCCACACACAACTAACAAATCATTTCAGTTTAAATCAATATCCCTGCACAAGCACTACTCCCCCCACTGTGTCTGAACCTGAACCATGGTGGCTGTGTCTGAACCATGGTGGCTGTGTCTTCATATAAGATCAACATCTAACACACAATTCTTACCTTTTAATGGATCAATCTACAAACAAACACCAAATGTCATCACGCATGCAGCATCCCTAAAAACCTCCATTTCCCCCCCAACTTCTGCCCCCTATAAAACACAACACAAAACCCACTTCTGAAAACACAGAAGCAGCAATTAAGCTTGGTTGGGTGTTTGTACCTAAATTTGCTCTTCAATGGCGGCTTCCATGAGACTCCCTCATTATTATGCTACTGCTACTGTTTTGGCCCTTGCAATAGTGTGCTTCGAGATGAAGAAGGTCCATGGCATCGAGACTGAGATATCTCCAATGCCTGCCATGGCTGCTGGCTCTGCATTTCCTTCTTCTACTGTTGCCTATGCTTTCAATTCTGTACTACCTCTGCTCTGTACTTTTGGTTTTCAAGGCTTCTTCTTGTCCTAAAACAATGGGTTTGTAGGCTGTTTTGTGTTTGTTCTATCTGTATAGAATACCAGCGGGCTTTCTTCTCACCAAATAAGGCCATGCATTCATCCCATCTATATCATGATACTCATAACCCATGCAAACACATGCTATTATGCAGGTACAAAGGCATGCTGATATACAAACTAGGCAAATTTATTCATTTTCTTTCATGTAACACTATTTTTCTTTTTCTTTTTTCACATCAGTATTAAAAATTACAAAATATTATAATATCAGTTGAACAAAAAAAAAAAAAAAAAAACGTCTACAGTCTACTCTTACTCTATTCACAAATTTAATCTAGTAGCTGAATAAGAATTCGGTGGGAGCTCAAAATTGTGAAATCATCTGAACCGCCATCATGAGTTTCCTA